CCAGATGCAAAGGTGGGATGGGCTCGTAAAATGTGGAATTTGGGCAGGTGGAGATGAGGCAGAGGTGAGGAAGGTAGTATCCATGAAATACCAGAGACGGGAAACGTTCTCCCTTCCTGCCCACGCAAGACATTTACAAGCAGTGTCATTTCTGTCATTGCTACTAGTCATAAACTGGGCTTTTATTAATTAGGGGGATGTTTATAATTAATTTGAAATTAATTTGCACCGGCTTGGTCTCCATAAGCTTCTGCTAAGCCCTGAGTTACTTCACCTTCGCTGTGCCCACACTGCCGGAGGGAAGGTGGTGAAAGCAAGGCTCCTTATTTACGTCATGCCCTGTTGCGTCAACCACCTCCTTCTGATGTGTCCTAAAAAAACTAAGAGGAAAAACTTTTACTGCTTCTTATCTCTAAGCTGGAGGGTAATAACACCAGAAGGACCATGTGCCAAATTTCTGCATGTCAACCTGCTAGAAGAATCATAGAATCATAGACTTGGAAGAGATCTCATAGGCCATCCAGTCCAACCCCCTGCCAAGAAGCAGGAAAATCACATTCAAAGTGCGCCCAACAAATGGCCATCCAGCCTCTGTTTAAAAGTCTCCATAGAAGAAGCCTCCACTACACTCCAGGGCAACTCTCACAGTCAGGAAGTTCTTCCTCATGTTCAGATGGAATCTCCTTTCTTGTAGTTTGAAGCCATTGTTCCTTGTCTTATTCTCCATGGAAGCAGAAAACAAGCTTGCTCCCTCCTCCTTACATATTTATACATGGCTATCATGTCTCCTCTCAGCCTTCTCTTCTTTAGGTTAAACATGCCCAGCTCTTTAAGCCGCTCCTCATAGGGCTTTTTCTCCAGACCCTTGATCATTTTAGTTGCCCTCCTCTGGACACATTCCAGCTTGTCAGCATCTCCCTTCAATTGTAGTGCCCAGAATTGGACACAGTATTCCAGGTGTGGTCTAACCAAGATAGAATAGAGGGATAGCATGACTTTCCTGGATCTAGACAATATACTCCTACTCATGCAGGCCAAAATCCCATTGGCTTTTTTGCCGCTGCATCATATTGTTGGCTCATGTTTAACTTGTTGTCCACTCCCTACAGGAGTTGGCGATTTGTTTGAATTCTTCTTTGGTGATTTCTCCCTTTTTCCACTTCTTGTGCATGTCTCTTTTGAGTGTTAGCACAATTGTGAGTTCTTTGGACATACATTCTGTCTTCTTTGCACTTGTCCTATTTTTCTTCTCTTTGTTGGCATTGTTTGCAATTTCACCTCAGTTTTTCACTCTTGAAAAACTCCCACCTATCCATAACTCCCCCAACCATTGTTGTTACTATGCACCTTCAAGTCATCTCTGACTTATGGTGACCCTAAGGGAAACCTAACACAGAGTTGGGTTGTCTTTGCCTTCCTCTAAGGTTGAGAAAATGTGTTTTGCTCAGTGTCCACCAATGAGTTTCAATGGCTAAATGAGAATTAAAACCAGAGCTGTAGTCCAACGCTGAAACCATGACACCTCATTGGCTCAAACCGACATACGCATCCACTTTTTTCCAGATGACAACAGAGACATGGATGTCCAAGCAACATCAAAACATGGCCCTATCTAAGATGTGGCAGCAGTTTGCCTGAGCCTACAGGGAAGGACAAGATTTGGCCTCCCTCTTCTTCTCTCTTCCTTCAATTTGACACTTTGGACTCATTTTTCTGCAACTGATGTAAGTTGAGGATGAAGGGAGAAATTGGGAAGAGAGTGAGAAAAAACTGGGACATTTTAGAAGCAACCAGAGGAGTAGATTATTTGGGACAATCTCTGCCAAATCGGGATAGTTGGAGGCTATGAAACAATGGCATAGTAGGGGTAGTATTGGGCTAAATTCAGTAAGCCACACAATTCGCTGGCATGAACCATATTGTCATCCCAACTTGTGTAGATCCATATAATCAGTTGTTGAATGGCAAGTGGATGCAATCACTGCAATCAAGAATTCAGATGAGGAGTAAGATTTTGAAAGACAGCCATGAAGGAACAAGACAAGATCATGTATGGTAAAGGTATGTCATTGAATACTAAAATTGAGAGCATCCATGCCATCATATTTCCCATTTCTATGTATGGTTGTTAAAAGATTGGCAGTGAAGAAGGCTAACAGGGGAAAATCAAGTCATTTTAAATGTTGTGCTTATGAATATTCAGAGAGATCATGTACTGCAAAAAAGACTGGGGGTGGGCTGGGGAGGGGGGAGGGGGGAAGAGTATTGTGGCTCAGCAAGTAGCACAGGATTTTTCTGATGTTTCAGAGGATGAGGGAATTGATGGGTTTCAAAGTGAAGTATCTGCTAATGATCAGAGATAATTGCAGGCCGAGAAAGACATTGTTTGGGATTCCCGTGCTCGTTCCCAGGCAACAGAAAGTGAAGATTTCTGTTCCCTTGTGAAAGGGCCTTTGGCCAATGGCTGGGTTTTTCCAAGAAGCCCAATTAGGTTTGAGAACTGAGGGAATGAAAGATAGACTAATTAGACATTCTGAGAGAGAAGCCCAGGTGCATTCGGCATGATCTCATGGCTTCTTGCTCGGTCTTAAATTAAGTGGTGTTTACTTGGTGCACCTCAGAGATGACAACGTTGCCATAAAGATGGCTTTCCTGTTTCACTTCTCAACTTCATGGTTCAAGTTTCCTATTTTTTGCCTATGTTCCTTGAAGGCTTTGGCTTGGAAAAAGTTCCTGTTTTCATGCCTATGGATTTATGTTTGGGTTTTTGGCCCTCTTGGATTCATATATTTGGACATGTTTGGATTGCTGCTGTTTTGCATTAGTGCTAAACTAATCTTTTGGGAAATGCCTTTCCCCCCTTTGTGCATGCTTTTCTTAATAAACTTTTTTAGATAGTACTCCTGGACTCTGGTGTGGTGCTGGGTATTTTATTTATTTGTCGTGTCAGGGCAGTCAATTATATTACATTTCTAACAGAGCAAAGCAAACAAACAGACAAAATACAAAATTTGCAAGCTTGGTAGCTGATTAAATGTCCTTTGACCAGTATCTGGCCACTTGGAGTGCTTTTGGTGTTGCTGCAAGAAGGTCCTCCATTGTGCATGTAGCAGGGCTCAGGTTGCATTGCAGCAGGTGGTCAGTGGTTTGCTCTTCTCCACACTCGCATGTCGTGGATTCCACTTTGTAGCCCCATTTCTGAAGGTTGGCTCTGCATCTTGTGGTGCCAGAGCAGTCTGTTCAGCCCTTCCAAGTTGCCCAGTTTTCTGTGTGCCCAGGGGGGAGTCTCTCATTTGGTATCAGCCATTGATTGAGGTTCTGGGTTTGAGCCTGCCACTTTTGGACTCTCGCTTGCTGAGGTGTTCCAGCGAGTGTCTGTGTAGATCTTAGAAAACTATTTCTTGATTTAAGTCGTTGACGTGCTGGCTGATACCCAAACAGGGGATGAGCTGGAGATGTCTCTGCCTTTGTCCTTTCACTATTGGCTGCTACTTCCCGGCAGATGTCAGGTGGTGCAATACCGGCTAAGCAGTGTAATTTCTCCAGTGGTGTAGGGCGCAGACACCCCGTGATAATGCGGCATGTCTCATTAAGAGCCACATCCACTGTTTTAGTGTGGTGAGATTTGTTCCACACTGGGCATGCATACTCAGCAGCAGAGTAGCACAGCGCAAGGGCAGATGTCTTCACTGTGTCTGGTTGTGATCCCCAGGTTGTGCCAGTCAGCTTTTGTATGATATTGTTTTTAGCACCCACTTTTTGCTTGATGTCCAGGCAGTGCTTCTTGTAGGTAAGAGAGTTTCATCTATGCTGATGATCGTGCATTACTGCTCAAGCAGGGAGCTTTGAGATGTAAGTTTAGAAGCTTTCCAAGCTCTAGGTGCTCTTACTGCCTATTACAGGGAAAACCAGCTGATCCCCAACCCATCTAAAACACAGACATGTGCCTTTCATCTCAAGAACAGAGAAGAATCCCGAGCTCTGAAGATCACCTGGGAAGGAATCCCACTGGAGCATTGCAGCACACCCAAATACCTGGGAGTCACTCTGGACCATGGTGCTGGGTGAGAAGGTGTCTCAAGGCTAGAGTGCAACAATATCCTCAAGCAAAGCAAACCTGAACTCTCTCTAGAAGCCAAGATGACTAAATTGAGGCTTTGGCCACATCATGAGAAGACAGGGATCACTAGAAAAGACAATAATGCTTGGGCATGGAGAAGGCAATAGGAGAAGACAAGGACACCATTCCAGATGGGGGGACTTCATCAAGGAAGCCTCAGCTGCTCAGAATTTGCAAGACCTGAGAAGCTCAATCAATGAAACAGGGATTTAGAGGTCTTTTGTTTATGGGGCCATAATCAATCAAAGTCAACTTAAGTTGGAGTTCTCTCACTGAAAAGACATAAAGGGCTTTGGACTCAATGCTCACATCTATATTGGGCAAGCCAATGACTACAACTCTCAGCATCCTTTTAGGCAGCAATGGGATATGTAGTCCAACCTCTAAGATATTTCCCACGTTCTTAACATATATCTGGTTGTACTGGTCCATTTAGTTTTCTTGGCAAGGATACTGGGGTGGATTGCCATTGCCTTCCCCAGGGATGGATGGACGGCATCCTTGAAGTGACTGGACTGACCTTGAAGGAGCTGGGGGTGGTGACGGCCAACAGGGAGCTCTGGCATGGGCTGGTCCATGAGGTCACGAAGAGTCGGAGACGACTGAATGAATGAACAACACTGATGCAGTATGAAACTACGGCACAATGCTATGGAATCATGTGAGCTGTAGTTTGGGGAGGTGCCAACACTGTTTGGCACACACGACTCAAGACCTTGTAGACTTACAGCTCCCATGATTCCATAGTTTTGAGCTGTGGGATTTAAAGTAGTGTCAAATTGCATTAATTCTACACTATAGATGTATCTTTAGGGATGTAACAGTTGTACGGAATGAATATTGCTGTACAAACGGCTTTCATTTTGCCCCCTTGGCTCACCTTTGGTTTCCTCCAAGAGCTCCCCGGTCAACTTGGCCACTTCTGCCACGGCCGGCCAAGAGAAGCCCTTCTCAGCAGCAAACACAACACTCCAGTAATAGACGTCCAAGTGGATGCTTCGACGCAAGTCCCGGACTTCATCAAACTCGGTCCAGTCTAGCAAATCTCTCAGATACTGGCGACCACTTGGTTGCTGCAGAAGAGATGGAAGAAGCAACATCATGAAGGCATCGACACATAAACACACATGGAGCTGCCATAATATTTCTCCTCTAAGTCTTAGGACTAAAAGACAAATGAGAGATAGGGTTTGCAGCTGTTTTGGTTTACATTCATTCCATTTTGTGACACTCAGATTCAGATGTGGAACTGAATGTATTCAGAAAATGGAGATAAGCATATTTGTAGAGGGTTTTTTTAGTGTATTTGAAAATTCTCAATAAAAATACTTAAAAAAACCAAAATGAGTACAATTTCAAGTTGGTGATGCATGGGATTAAAGAGGAAACAGGAAATAGTTTGGAAACATTCCCAAAGGAAACCACTGAGACTCTTGAAATACACCCCAAACACACTGTAATTCAATGATCTTCTCATACTGAAATGTCCAAAATGTACACACATGTGCACAATTGAAAAATAAATTGATTAGAGCAATATGCACAATCTATATAAATAAAAATGTAATGTTTGTTTGTGGGATTAACATAACTCAAAAACCACTGGATGAATTGGCATGAAATTTGGACACAATATACCTATCAGGCCAACGAGTGTCCATCACCTATAAGCACACACATGCACACACACACACACACACACACACACACACACACACAAACCCCAAGTGAACAGACTTAAAAACCCCAAAAATACACCATGAGGAGTGGCTTAAAGAGCTGGGCATGTTTAGCTTGCAGAAGAGAAGACTGAGAGGAAACATAATGGGTGCCATGGAACAAGATGTGAGGAGAACCCATAGGGAGGAGGGAACAGGCTTTTTTTTCTGCAGCCCTGGAGGCTAGGACGCAGAACAATGGCTTCAAACTACAGGAAAGGAGATTCCACCTGAACATTGGGAAGAACTTCCTGACTGTGAGAGCTGTTCAGCAGTGGAACTCTCTGCCCCAGAGTGTGGTGGAGGCTCCTTCTTTGAAGGCTTTGAAACAGAGGCTGGATGGGTATCTGTCGGGGGTGCTTTGAATGCGATTTTCCTGCTTCTTGGCAGAATGGGGTTGGACTGGATGGCCCATGAGGTCTCTTCCAACTCTAGGATTTTATGATTCTATAAGAACTTCCTGACTGTGAGAGCCGTTCAGCAGTGGAACTCTCTTCCCCGGAGTGTGGTGGAGGCTCCTTCTTTGCAGGGTTAAACAGAGGCTGGATGGGCATCTGTCGGGGGTGCTTTGAATGCGATTTTCCTGCTTCTTGGCAGAATGGGGTTGGACTGGATGGCCCATGAGGTCTCTTCCAACTCTAGGTTACTATGATTCTATTCTAAGATGTTTATGGGAAATGGGGAAGGAAAGAAAGAAAGAGACACAAAGAGAGTCTGCCCACCGTTGCCACAGCATTGCTATGGAGACACTGCAAGGTAGGCCTTCTCAGAGCTGGAGAAGGGAGAAAGCAGACAGGCAGCGGCCCTTCCAACACTTGGCCAATGCGGGGCATATAAATATTTATTTTGTGTCATAATTTAAACTGTCCTATATCATCCTAAATCCTAGAGCATCATGCTGCCCTTCACCTTAGCCGTAGGTATGGAGGAGACGGAGATCTAAGTGCTTATTCAGAGCAAACCATGCCGAGAGCGGGGAGCTGGGAGGGATTAGTAGCCGCCTAGCATCTCCTGCTGGGAGTTGCCCTCCTCTTCAAGTTAATTTACCTAAAGGCTCAGTTAGTTAATGATGCTCTGGAATTAAGTGGCCTCATTACGCTTGCAGCTAATACATCACTCGGGAAAGGGGTGACTTGTGCATCATTAAAAGAAGGGGGGGATTTGTCTCCGAAAAAAAAGACGAAGGCACAGATTTATGGGCGTCAATGGAAATTTGCATTTTCTTGCAAGCTGTGCAGAAATGGAAAACGTACACAGGCTAAACAACAGGCCTAATCTGGGATCCCCAAAATATGAAATGCTCCAAAATATGGCATTTGTCTACATCAGGCAAACAGGCTGTTAGGAATTGTGGGAGTTGAATTCCAAAACAATGTATTGTCGAAGGCTTTCATGGCCGGAATCACTGGGTTGTTGTAGGTTTTTTCGGGCTGTATGGCCATGGTGTAGAGGCATTCTCTCCTGACGTTTCGCCTGCATCTATGGCAAGCATCCTCTGTGGAATGACCAGGGTGGGCAAAGGACTCTTGTCTGCTGGAGCTAGGTGTGAATGTTTCAACGGACCCACCTTGATTAGCATATAATGGCCTGACTGCCAAGCAATCAAATGCTAATCAAGGTGGTGAGTTGAAACATTCACACCTAGCTCCAGCAGACAAGAGTCCTTTGTCCCACCCTGGTCATTCCACAGATATATAAACCCTTTTCCTAGTTCCAACAGACCTCACTACCTCCGAGGATGCTTGCCATAGATGCAGGCGAAACGTCAGGAGAGAATGCCTCTAGACCATGGCCATATAGCCCGAAAAAACCTACAACAACCCAGTGATTCCAACCATGGAAAATGCCTAGTCTACATGGATGGGTGGGATGTTGACCTCTTTGCTTTCTGATGGTTCAATGCACATAATGTACATGTATTTATCCTTTTTTTTGCCCAGCAGAGCTTTCAAAACAATGCATTTCTACATAAAAGCAAAAGAGAAAAAAGATTCATTGAACATTGGGCATTGAAAACCCCTGAAATATGACCTTCTGGCCTCTGTTGAAAAACCTCCCAAGAAAGAGACTCAGCTACATGAGTATGCCTTATCTGAAATGCCTGGAACTAGAAGTGCTTTGGATTTTGGATTTGTTTTCCAAATTATTGGAATACTGGTACAAATTGAGCATCCCTTACCCAAAATGCTCCGAAACCCAATATTGTTCAAGTGAGTAGCTGAGATAGTGACACTATTGTTTTCTGATTTCTTTTTTCGTGTCAAGAGCGACTTTAGAAACTGGAAGTCGCTTCTCGTGTGAGAGAATTGGCCATCTGCAAGGATGGCCAGGTGGTGTCTGAATGTTTTGATGTTTTACCATCCTTGTGGGAGGCTTCTCTCATGTCCCCGCATGAAGAGCTGGAGCTGAGAGAGGGAGCTCATCTACACTCTCCCTGGATTTGAACCTCTGATCTGTCCGTCTTCAGTCCTGCCGGCACAAGGGTTTTAACCCATTGCACCACTGGGGACTCCAATTGCTCTCTGATGATTCAGTATAAATAAACTGTTTAATGCACAAAATTATTAAAGATATTGCATATAAAATTACCTTAAGCATATACAGATTATGTTTTCTGAATCCCATCTCCAAGGTATCCTATTATGAATATATGCAAATACAGGTATTCCAAAATAATCATAATAATTCCAAAAGCTTTCTGGTCCCAAACATTTTGGATACAGGATAATCAGCCTGTAGAGACATCTCCAGCTCATCCCCTGTTTGGGTATCAGCCAGCACGTCAACGACTTAAATCAAGAAATAGTTTTCTAAGCTCTACAGAGACACTTGCTGGAACACCTCAGCAAACGAGAGTCCAAAAGTGGCAGACTCAAACTCAGAACCTCAACCAATGGCTGATACCAAATGAGAGACTCCCCCCTGGGCACACAGAAGACTGGGCGACTTGGAAGGCGCTGAACAGACTGCGCTCTGGCACCACGAGATGCAGAGCCAACCTTAAGAAATGGGGCTACAAAGTGGAATCCATGACATGCGAGTGTGGAGAAGAGCAAACCACTGACCACCTGCTGCAATGCAACCTGAGCCCTGCTACATGCACAATGGAGGACCTCCTTGCGGCAACACCAGAGGCACTCCAAGTGGCCAGATACTGGTCAAAGGACATTTAATCAACTACCAAGCTTGCAAACGTTGTGTTTGTCTGTCTGTCTGTTTGTTTGTTTGTTTGTTTAAAACGTAATACAACTGTCTGGTTGCTCCTGACACGATAAATAAAAAAAATAAACCTGTATATGTGGCAGCTAAAATAGCGAATGTGATTCAAGGCTGCATCAATTGTTGTTCATTCGTTCAGTCGTCTCCGACTCTTCGTGACCTCACGGACCAGCCCACGCCAGAGCTCCCTGTCAGCCGTCACCACCCCCAGCTCCTTCAAGGTCAGTCCAGTCACTTCAAGGATGTGGCAGCTAAAATAGCGAATGTGATTCAAGGCTGCATCAATAGTGTCTAAATAATGGGAAGTCATAATAATCCCACTCTATTCTGATTGCTCAGTCTTCACCTGGATTAACCCTGCATCCAATTCTGGGCAAAGCAATTCAAGAAGGATATTGACAAGCTGGAATGTGGCCAAAGAGGTGCCCAAAAGATCAAAGATCTGGAAAGTATGAATCTCTATGAAGCTGGATTTGTTTAGCTTGGATAAGGTTAAGAAGTGATATGATAGCCATGTTTGAATAAATAAAAGGGTGCCGCCTTAGCCAGATCCAGGTTGTTTTAATGGCTAGCATTGAACTTGGTTGGAGACGCCTGGGTTCAAATCCTCACTTGGCTTTGAGGATCATTGGGTGGCCTTGGGTCATTCCCTCATGCTGCTGAAGCTACTTTACAGGTTGTTGTAATGGTAAAGTCACAGGTGAAGTGAAGTTTGTAAATTACTTTTAAGCTTCTTGGAAGAAAGTGGGAAATTAGAAAATAAAATGCAATTGAAAGAAAATTCAATTGCAATTTTCCCCCAATAATCCAATGACTTGATTGTCTTAATGGTGTAGTCAGTCTCTCTTTCCTTCCCTATCTTCCTTTCTCTTTCTCTCACTTCTTAACTTAAAACTGCACATCTCAATCCTGAACATTTAACTTCAGAGTATTAACTCTGACTGGTAGAAGGATCCCTATAATACACAAAAACAAGTGTTGGTTAGTCTCTGGAGATCTGGTGGAAGCTCCTTCCTTGGAGGCATTTATGCAGAGGCTGGATGGCCATCTGTCAGGGATACTTTGTGCTTTTCTTGCATGGAAGGAGGTTGGACTAGATGGCCCATGTGGTCTCTTCCAGCTCTATTATTGTATAATTCTATAATCTGGGTTCAAATATCAGCTCATCCATGGAAACCCACTGAATGCTATGCTTTGACTCTGAAGACCAAGGTTTGATTCCCCACTTGGGGGCTCATCACACTAGAGAAAAAAATCCACTTAAAAACTGGTTTCTGCCTCCTGCCGAATTTTGGGGTTTGTAGTTTAGGGAGGAGCCTTTAACAGCCTTACTAAACTACAAGCCCCAGAATTCTGCAGGAGGCAGAAACTGGATTTTAAGTGGATTTTTTCTCTCTAGTGTGATGAAGTGATTGGTCATGGAAACTCACTGAGCTGTCTTGGACAAGTCACACTCACAATCTTGGAGAGGCAAATGCCTCTGGATAGATTTGACCAAGACAACCCCGTGATAGGTTCTATAAGTCAGCAATGACTTGAAAGGCACCCAGCAACAAGAGAATGGTGTCCACAAGAGAATATAACATGGCATGCTTACAAAACATATTATATTCCAGAAAGACACTATCCCATTCCTGGCCTTCCACCTCCACACCCTGCAAAAATCTATGTTAGTTCTTCCTCTTGTTTTTACCGGCAGCCGGAAAACAGTCTCGACACCTTCAGCAGTTAAGCTGGCCATCCTCCTCGGTGAGATCAGTTGCTAGGAGACCTTGGCTTCTGATGCACAAAACCATGGAATGAAAGGGGAAAGTGACAGGTTCCGCTGGAAGAATGCGCTCCCAAAGCGGGCGCATGGCAACGGGCATGAAAAGAGCCACAGAGGGCACATGTTACAACCTCAAAACCCTTGAATCATTTACATGTCCTGCCTGGCAGTTGAATGCAGTGGTGCAAAGGCAGAAATCGTTGACATTTGGCCAATGTAAACAATTCCAAAACTCTTTTTTTGGAAGGGAAGATGATGCCACATTGAAACTGTATCCATCTACACAATGAGCTCCAGCAAAGGTTGCCATGTATCACGGTCTGTTGTTCAACCTTTAGGTTGCCTGCAAGACAAGAGTGCAAATTCTCCGCTTTGGGAAAGAAGAAAGAGCTGAGTTCAAATCAAGTTTTTAAAGTTATGAGCTGCTTTGCATCTCAGTCCTTTTTATTTCAAAAGTATAGTTAGTTACACAAGAGCAGGGGATAACACAAACAAGTTTTTAGGAGATAGATAGATAGATACTAGATAGATAGATAGATAGATAGATAGATAGATAGATAGATAGATAGATAGATAGATAGATAGATAGTAAAAGCTGCACGTCTGACCTACTGGTACTACAACCCCACAACTGAATATTTATTCAAAACTAGCTTGGATTAGAGGGAAGAATAGTAGAGGCCAAGATGAAGTACTTTGGCCACTTCATGAGAAGACAGGAAAGTTTAGAGAAAACAATTATGCTGGGGAAAATGGAAGGAAAAAGGAAGAGGGGCCGACCAAGGGCAAGATGGATGGATGGGGTCCTTGAAGTGACTGAATTGACCTTGAAGAAGCTGGGGGTGGTGACGGCCGACAGGGAGCTCTGGTGTGGGCTGGTCCATGAGGTTACGAAGAGTTGGAAATGACTGAACGAATGAACAACAAGCTTGCATACTGGCATTGCCCAGGTTATTTGGAAAAGTCAGTTTTGGAAATCCCAGTACCTACAACTTCTATAAATCAAGATGTATTCCTCCCAAACCTCTCCAGTATTTTGCCTTGGTTTTGGGTGTTCTGTGTGTCAAATGTGGTGCAAGACCATTGTCAGTGGGGATCAGAGTGCTTTGGAGCAAACATTGGCCCTCCAGGCATTTTGGACTAACTGGGAGTTGAAGTCCAAAACACCTGTAGGGCCAAAGTTTGCCCATGCCTGATGTAGACTCACATATGAACCGGGTTGTGGTGCAGCTAGTTAGTAGCCAGCTGCATTAAATCACTCCTGACCAAGAGGTCATGAATTTGAAACCAGCCCGGGCCGGAAAAAGCTCTTGATCATTAATAGCCTAGCTTGCTATTGACCTATGCAGCCCAAAAGACAGTTGCATCTGTCAAATAGGAAATTTAGGTACTGCTTTATGCAGGGAAGCTAATTTAACTAATTTATGACACCATAACTGTTGTTATTGTTTTTTACTGATGTTGTTATTGTTTTTACTGATGTATTGTGGGCTTGGCCTCATGTAAGCCGCACCGAGTCCCTTGGGGAGATGGTAGCGGGGTATAAATAAAGATTATTATTATTATTATTATTATTATTATTATTATTTATAAAATCTTCCAGCAGCGTGCGTAAGAATGAGGAAGTACTCCATCAGGATTCAGTGTTACAAGTGGACGGTGAAGCGGCAGCTCCACCTGTGGCCAGAATTGAGCATAACCTTATGAAGCTGGAAAAGCTGGAATGTTAAATTGCCTCTGTATCTGTCTATATGTGTGGTATGTCTAACTAGCATTGAATGTTTGCCATGTATATGTGCATTGTAATCCGCCCTGAGTCCCCTGCAGGGTGAGAAGGGCGGATTATAAATACTGTAAATAAATAAATAAATATAATGCAGTTTAACTGTATTTAATTTCGTTATATGAGTCTGCATTCAACGCAGTGTAGATGAGGCCTTTATCGTCACTTCTCAAAGAGGGCTTTGGATACGGGTTCTTGCATCGGCCAAGGGCCAGACTAGATGGCTTCTGGGGATCCTTTCCAGTTCGATTGATTCTGTGATGGCTCATCCTTTTGGGACACGATCCGTTGCCACCAACGGTAGCCATGGTGAAGCCGATGAGCTTCCTAACCTCATTAGCCTCCTGCTTACAGATGGTGCCTGTGCCCTAATCCGCTTTTCTGCTCATCCTAATCCTATTCAGGGCAGCCATTCCACAGGAAGAAACAGCCCACCACTTTCTTTTCAGATCTGAAGACAAGTCTTCCTCCTCCTCCTCCTCCTCCTCCTCTCACGTAGGCTGATGGGGGGCTTGGGATGATGATGGGACAGTCTTCAAACCTTCCTTAAATCCCTTCCAAGCCAATGGGACAACCCCCAGATGTGGCACCCACCCTATTGGTTGGAAAAACAATTCTGCTTTGGTAGCCCTTTTTGGGCTATTGTTTTTGTGTTTTTTTTGGAAGAAGAGATCCAAGCCCTGGATTTGGGTCACCAAAGGTGGGACACCGTGATGTCCTGGAGGCCACCAAGGTAGGTCAAGGCAAGGAGCTTCATGTTTAGTGATCCTTATCCTAAACGCTTAGGACGAGAAATATTTGGGATTTGGGAATTTATTTGTTTATGATTTTGCATCATTAGATATCTTAGAAAGAGATATACTCCTAGGATCAAAAGTGGACCTCTAAATACTCTAAAAGCAACAAATCCCATCTGACCTTGGAAGCTAAGCAGGATCAACTCTGGGTGTTAATTGGGTGGGAAATCAGCAATGATTGAGTGTCTCATATCTGAAATGCCTTTTGGGTTTTTTGTATATCTCTGCATCATGAAATATCGTTGAAATTGGTGTGGTTTAATTATAGGAACACAGGATCAAACACAGACCTAAAAATATCCTAAAGGCATCAGATCCTGTCTGATCTTGAACGCCAAGCAGGGTCAGCCCTGGTTAATTCTTGGATGGGAATCCACCAATGAATACCTATTAAGTGATTGTTATTTGAAATGCTTGTGACTATAGTGTTCTGGCTTTCTAGTTTTTTCAGGATTTTAGAATATTTCCATATACATAGTGACATATCTTAGGGCCCTTCCAGACAGTCCTATATCCCAGGATCTGATCCCAGATTTTCTGCTTTAAACTGGATTATATGTCCCCACTGCCAGATAAACAGAAAACCTGGAATCAGATCTTGGAATATAGGGTCTGGAAAAGCCCTTAGAGATGGGACCCATTTATCTATGTTTCATACACATCTTATACATACACATATCCCGAAGGTAATTTTATACAATATTTCAAAATAATTTTGTACTTGAAACAAAGTTTGCGGAAAATGTTGGATTTTGGAATATTTCCTATTCCAAAATAAGAGATAACCTAGATATTTTAACTCCATGATTATGCTGCACATGGACCTCCAAGAGCTTATTATTGAGTTCAGGCCTGAAATTCTTGGTTCATTTACCTTAGGAACATAATAATAATAATAATAATAATAATAATAATAATAATAATAACAACAACAATACGATACAAGAAATATGTGTCTTTTGATGGTCTTTGGCGACCCCTATGAAACCCCCTCGCAACCCCCCCCAGGAGGTCCTGACCCCCAAGTTGAGAAACACTGATCTGAAACAATAGTGCGCAAAGAGGGCATCATGTGATGTGCAGTTTGGAAAAAAGGTCACATTTGAGTCATGATGCTATAGGTCCAGTGTGTCCATTAGCCTTCTATATTTGCCCTGATCTAAACAGTAGAGTTGAGTAGGACTAAAATATCAGCCCTATTAAACTCCCAGGTGGAACACTGGGCTGGAACGAGTCCAGAAACTGTGTAGGAAGACAAACAGACCACAATCAATAACTTTGGTCAAAAGATCCCCAAAGTCTCAGCACTGCTTTCAGTCCAAACTACTCACAGCCCAGGCTGAGAAAGATAAAGTTTAGTCCCAGCATCAGTGTTTTAAGAAATTCAGAGTGACGTAGGCATTAGACAACAACAAAGTACGCATGGGCAATATCTCATGCATACGTGATCATTCTTATCTGAGTTCTATGTGACAAGCACAGAATGTAACCGGAGATCGTTTGTTGTTCAAGAGGATGTTCTCAAGATCTGGCACTATATGAAGCCGTCATGTTTAGTTGTTGTACCCGAGCACATGATGTTGTGATTGCAGCATTTCTGACAGAGATGACAGAGCTCAGCAAAGAATACAGGCCATTGGAAGATGACAGGCATGGTCAAGATAGAGTTGATCAGGATCCCTAAAACAGACCATACTTACAAAATACCATACTTACAAAAACAGCCAACATTAAAATCTTACCGAGATTATCATCAGACCACTGCCCTATATAATTTACAATAAATGAAGCAAAGAGAATCTAAAGATGGAGACTAAACAACAACCTTTTAAAATCAGAAGAAGATGTAAACAAAAATAAAGAACTACTAAGGGAATACTTTCAAATGAATTTTCCAAAGAAACCCCTTTATAAATTTTTTGGAATTTATTTATTTATTTATTATTTAACGTGTCATCAGCAACTAGACCATTGTATTACATTTCTAACAGAACAAAACAAACAAACAGATAAAAAACACAAATTTTGCAAACTTGGTAGTTGATTAAATGTCCTTGGACCAGTATCTGGCCACTTGGAGTGCCTCTGGTGTTGCCGCAAGAAGGTCCTCCATTGTGCATGTGGCAGGGCTCAGGTTGCATTGCAGCAGGTGGTCAGTGGTTTGCTCTTCTCCGCACTCGCACATCGTGGATTCAACTTTGTAGCCCCAACTTTGTTTGGGATGCCAGTAAGGCAGTGATGCGGGGCCATTTTATCAAACAAAGTTCATATAAATCTGAATTAAAGAAACAAAAATGGACAACATGACCCAGCGAATAACTTTACTAGAAGAAAAGCTAATGCAAAACCCTATGGATAAAAAAAAATAAAACGAGAATTAAAAGTTTGGACTACCC